TTGTTCCCACTAGCTCAGCCTAGCAAGTGCTGGAGGGCTGCCAGTTGTGGATACTGTCCCGGAGAGGGGAATAAAGCTGTAAAAGGTGTCAGAAGCCAAATAACCAGTCTCTGATGCCTGCCTAGAGCTGGACAAAAATTATTTTCCTCTGATATCCTTAGGGAGTAGGAATGCTGCTTTGGAAAGGGCTAAGCAGAAGTTGCCCAACAGTTGTTTTTCCATTGCCATTGTCATTTATTAAAGGCACAGTCACTCTCCCTTTTAGGTCTCAGTGCCCTTGCAAGATCCTTGCAACAGCACAAATCCTGAGCATACAATCACAGTTCCAAAAGAGAGAGACACACACACACCTTAGCAGCAGTGACGGCAGCAGCAGGTCTTGGAATATTGCGTGCAGATCGAAACAAATAAGTCTTCAGGATGTTTAGCCTTCATGAAGCCACCCCTCCCTCCTTGTGGGAAGGGATTTCCAGAGATGTGGGGCCTCCATGGAGAAAGCCCTGTCCCTCCTATCCATGCTGCTGGTGAGAGAGTAGGTCTTGGAGGTTTGCTCCTCGCTTTTAAGCCAGCAAAGTTTCACATATATGCGGACAGGCTGGGCCTTGGGGCTGTGGAAAGATAGTACAAGGGGCTGCATGCCTCCCCTATGCATCCCCTCCCATATAAATATTAGGGGAATTCTCTGGGTGTTTGTCTGCCACAGCAGCATGTGGTGCTCCTGGCCTGAGCACACATTCGGATCATAGTCAAGGATCATATACAAACAGCTTAATGGGTACAGTTTTGCTGCTGCTGTTGTCAAGTCTGTTTGCAAGATGGTAGATGAAAGTCCAGGTGTTGGTTTGCTCAGAGGTTCAGCAGGTGCCTTACAAAGGAGATGATTCCAGGTAGGTTCTGATGTCCCACAGCCTGGGAAAGGAGTCCCCGTTGTGGTCATGCAGATACACAGATGCTAGAACTCCCATCAGCAAAGCTGGTGGAGCTAATGCTCAGGGAACTTGGGAAATGTAGACCAAAACATCTGGAGGGCTACACGTTGCCCATCTTGTCTTAGAATATGGAGGATTTGTTTTTCGAGGCAGTTTTGCTGACTTGGAATCATTTCCCTGCTGTAATGTTTATTGCCACCGGAATTTGGCACAGCTCGGCATTCTGTCGGGAGCTGTTCGATCCGGGGGTGGTTCTTGGAAAGTTCACCCACCTGTTCCGCATCTGAGCCTCGCCACTTTTTGTCTGGGAATGCATCGCTCTTTGGGTGCAAATGTGTTGGCAACATTAATAATTACACACCCAGCTCTTTCATAATTTATCATAATGACTCTGTTATTGCATATTAGAGGAGATTTCCCCCTCCCTCCCTCAGTTGAGGCTGAAACAGATCATAATTGCCGATAATGACACTGGTTGCTTGGAGGTGAACTGGCTTCGTACTGGAGCTTTAATTTAGCAGTCGTGCTGGCGATGTCGCTCTTCCATGGTACATTACTTCGCGTCCAACCAAACCATGTGCTCTCCCAGACCCTCATTACAGCTGGAGTCGCATTGCTTGTTAATTAAAAAAAAGAAAAAGTGGGGGAGAAAGATGAGAACCGGCAGCCTGGAGCGCTCACTGCCCTGATGGGCAGAGGCGGAAGCGAGCGCACGGAGGCCTTGTAGAACTTGCGACTGGCCGTTTTGAGCTGGGTGAAGTCAGTGCTGCCTCTCGGGAAGCCGCCCTTGGTGGGGCCTCCTTCCTGCTGGGATGGTTTTTTCTTAATGGATCTTAATGACGGTGGAGCTGCTCATCGCTTCTAGCAAATGGGTCTTTCCAGCCTTGTGCTTTCTGGAGTAAAATGCATACAGGAAGTGGGGGCATTTGTAGGGGAACTCAGCTCTGTGGAGGAAAACGTGACCTTCCTGCTTCTGCTTAATTTTGGGGCAGATCTTCCCCCACCCACCCCGCCAACCCTGCTACTCTCCAGCTGAGCTGCGTTTCCTTTCTCCTCGGGAGGGAAACAGGCCGGATATGGCCAGAGGGCATTTGTGAGCAGAAGTGGGGAGGTGAAGCACCCCACCCGCCTGCTGACACCCTCCAGCTGATGTCCTTCTCTGTCCGTGCATTACGAAGCGAGTGCCGGGCTGCCGCTTGGAATGCCCAGATGCGGGGGCCGCGGGGAGCGCCAGGCACTGTGACTGCACGGCGGAGCGCATTGGCTTTCCTTGTGGGCCGAGAGCCGTGCGACTGGGACTGGGCGCGTTTTTCCGTTCTTCCACCGTGTGTGCTTTGGTCTGCCCTGAACCTGGCTTGCTCCCAGTGCTTGGAAGGGCCGGTTGACAGTTCAGCTCGTTGAGTGGGGAAGACTTATGGCCAGCCCTGCCGGGGATCCCAGAGGCAGTAATGCGACTCCTTGTCCTGGCACGGCAGTCTGGTGTTGCGGTGCCAGCTGTCTCCCAGTCTTCGCAAGGGGCAGGTGGTGAAGAGCAGCTGTTCCCGGAGCAAAATTGCAAGACCTCCTGAAGCAGCCTCGTAGGCCAGGTGTGGGCTTCCGATGGAACTTTCCCAGTCAGCAGCCATTGATGTCCAGTGGAAAATTTCCCAGTGCTTTCTTTATCTGTGGGACCTTTCCGTCTCATAAGGACAGATCACAGAATCATGGAATAGTAGAGTTGGAAGGGACCAGAAGGCCATTGGGTCCAACCCCCTGCTGTTGCAGGACTCCACGTCCCACCACCCCACACAGGTGGCTGTCCGAAAGCTTTTTGCATGTCTGCAGCGAGGGACAGCCCGCAGCTTCCCCAGGTAATAGGTTCCATTGCATTTTCCTGGTGGCTTGTCTATGTCTGGCTTCTTTCAACTTAAGCCTGTTATTCCGTGTCCTGCACTCTGGAATGAATGAGAGATCATGTCCTTCCTCTTTGTGACAGCCAGAGGCACCTGTAGCATGCCTCACTCTTCTCTTCCCGAGGCTGAATATGCCCAGTTCTCTCAGTTTTTCTTCACAGGGCTTTGCCTCCAGTCCCTGAAACATCCTTGCTGGCCTCCTCTGTACCTTGTACCCCTTCTAGCTTTTTTGCACCTTTTTCAAACTTAGGTGCCCAGAACTGGACACTGGACTCCAGTGAGGTCTGACTAGTTCTGGGTATAGGCCAGTGATGGTGAACCTTTTAGAGACCGAGCGCCCAAACTGCAACCCAAAACCCACTTATTTATCGCAAAGTGCCAACACGGCAATAAAACCTGAAAACTCAGTTTTTAGTTTAGAAAAAACAACTCACAGCCAGTCCAAGCAAATCAATCAATCAATCAATCAATCAATCTCTCTCTCTCTCTCTCTCTCTCTCTCTCTCTCTCTCTCTCTCTCTCTCCTTGGCAGGGCACTGATGGGCCATGCGAAACCTCGTGTGAGTCGTGGCTAATGAGTCGCGGCTCGTGATGTCATCACCTGGTGCCGCTAGTCCTTTCCGAGCATGCGCATGGCCCCTGTGTGCGCTGTTCTCCGATGCTCGGCTGCTGAGGCGATGCTGGGCGACTTGGCCCGCGTGCCGACAGAGACGGCTCTGTGTGCCCGCTGAGGCGTGCTGCCCTAGGTTCGCCACCAGTGGCCTAACCCGACCCTGCTGCACACCCCTAACCCCTAATATAGGGATAAAACACCATTGAAAGGGGAGATTTTGAAAACACCTTCTTTGAGTAGCTTTTTCTGCACGGCTCATCTTTTCTGCCCATTCTAAACGTTCCTGCCATCAGAATCATGCCAGGAAACCTTGTTTTCCTAACCCTAACCCTACCCTGCTGCACACCCCTAACCCCAAAATAGAAACAGAGTGAGACTGAAGGGGTCTCCTGTACCATCCAGTCTGACCCCCGGCTCTAGCCGGCTCCGCTCACATAGGGCTGAAGTTCCATTGAAACGAGGGCGATTTTGAAAAAGCCTTCCTTGAGTAGCTTTTTCTGCACAACTCATCATTTCTGGCCCTTCTAAACACATTCCAACCATCAAAATCATGCCAGGATACCACGTTTTTCTAACCCTACCCTGGTGCACACCCCGAACCCTAATATAGGGCTCAAGTTCCATTGGAAATAGGGTGATTTTGAAAAGCCTTCCTGGAGTAGCTTTTTCTGCGCATCTCATCATTTCTGCCTATTCTAAACACTTTCCAGCCGTCAAAATCATGCCAGGACACCTCGTTTGTCTAACCCTAACCCTACCCTGGTGCACACCCCTAACCCTAATACCTGAAATTCATGGGGATACGTTCTTAAAGCACCTGCTAATTGTGGAAAACCACGAATTGGGTGCCGGGATGTGCGCCGGCCGCCAAGGTGGTGTGGGCAGGAGGCGCGGGCCGGGGGCAGCCGCGCGCACATGGCGAGGCCGGGGCTGGGGCTGGGGCGCCCCGCGAGCATGTTCTCCAAGGGAGTCCGAACTCGGAAGAAACCGTCTCCTTGCGAGTGAGCTGCCGCATGGCAAGGCGCTGTCTCGCTGGGCTGAAGTTCCACTGAAACGTTATCCTGCGTACTCCAGGGGCCGAGGAGCTTGGGCGGGAGGAGGCCGTGCCGCCATCCTGCTTATTGTGTGTGGCCAGTTTGCCTCTGTGTTGTGTTGTGTTGTGTTTCCAGTGCTGGACAGGATGGGCCTTGGGTCCAATTCAGCCTGGCTTTTCTTGCGTTCTTAAAAGTTCTTTAGACACAGTGAATGGGTGCCAATTGCAAAGACAGCATCATGCAAGCAAGGCAGCTTGGAAGTAGCAAGCGGTGTTTTTCAGGGAATTGTCCCTGGCAAGTCTGTGAAAGATGCACAGAAGCCACGGGGAGACACCTGTGCTTCACAGGGAGAGGGAGCGAAGAAGCAGCCACGGCAACACTGAAGGTGCACCACCAGGTGCCTCCCTGGAAGAGCTCCGGGCTCTTCCGAAGAGCAGGTGGTTGCCAGCGCACCGGAGCAGTTCTTGGGCTGCTACGGTACTGAGGGTATAAAGTGTTTTCAGGGCCTTTGTTTTCTTCTTAAAGGTAAACCATGCAAGGGAAGCGCTTCTACCTCCTTAAGAATATTCCAGGTATTCCAGTAGCAAAACAATCTACGTAACATCACACTGAGATCACATGAAGTGTGGTTTAATTTTCTCCCTCAGGTATTTCTAGATGATTACTTTTCAGAGTATCGGGCCAAAAGTCAACACAGGGCTGTTTCAGCTCTGTTCAGTAAATACAGTTAAAATAAACATGGCAAATACATTTTTTTCTGGTTATCAGAAAGTTTTCCAGAGCAAACTGACAATTTTCCAAAGAAAATGGCCTCATGTAAATTAGCCTGATTGGCACTGGATAACTTCGGGAAAATTTACCCATTTGTGATTTTTGGAAACCCCGTATCACTGAGTGGACAGGGTCATTTCATTTTGTTTCCTCCCAGCCAAACAGAGGGACAAAAAGAACCCGGGAAGATGAAGAAGAAGATCTCAAGCTGCGGCACAAGCAGGGCGGTGTGCGGGAGCGTGTCCGTCACCGGGAGGAGGAGGCTCCTGCATCGGAGGACACGGATGCTGACAAGAAGAAGCTGCTGCACGTGATCGAGAAAGGCGATGAGGAAGAGGAAGAGGTGAGCGGACTGTCCTTGGGCCGGGGTGGGCGGTGCTCGTTGTCGGCTCCCGCTGGCACAGGTGCAGGGGTGGCGCTGGAGTTGGGACCTGCGGTGGGCGGCAGGTGGGCCTGCCGTGCTCCCCTTGACAGAGCCCCACGCTCCTGGGCCTGACGCAGAATGCACCTCTGGGAATCCTGCAGAATGCGTGGCCCCTTGTTTTCTCCTGAGGAAATTGAAAAGTGGCCATAGCGATTTTACTTTTAGACAGAATGGGATGAAAATGGCGGGCTTAGGAATGCCGCCCCTGCCTGAGGGAAGGAAGGCTGCTGAGGTTTAGAAGCAGAGTGGCCGTGGCCCTAAGGGTTAAAAAAGAGCCACCCTTCCCCTCGTGTTGATACGGGTATTACTCTGGAAAGGGCATCCTGGCAGAGGTCTCTTAAGTTCAGCCGCAGCCTTTCAGTCTGGCCAGGGCAGGAGCTTTGACCTGGACGAGGGTCCGGGAGTCATTTTGCCAGAACGGGCGCCAGGGATGGCTGACCGCCCAAGCAGGAGCCTGCGCACGTTTTGATTTAACGGTTGGGTTTCCGCACTGGCCGATGGCGGAGGCTCTCGGCACGGTCCGGAGCAGTCGCCACAGTATGCGACGGGTGGCGGGAGTGGCGCAGGCGCGTGAGTGATGCATCCGAGGCAGGGCTGAGCGCGTGGCCGTGTGTCCATCCCTCCAGGAGGAGCCCCTGGATGAGAGTTCGGTGAAGAAGATGATCCTCACTTTTGAGAAGCGATCGTACAAGAACCAGGAGCTCCGGATCAAGTTCCCAGATAACCCTGAGAAGTAAGTCTCCTTGCGGGGGTGGCTTTTCTCTCGGCCAAGGGTCCTCGGGGTGCTGCTGTTGGCCTCTTGGTCCCTCGTTCGTGCAGAGGGCAAGCAAATAGACGTCGCTTGGTTTTTAACTCCAAGCACTCTGCTTCAGAGATTGAGAGCTGGGCAGCAGTGGGCACAGGAGCCTGGCCTCTCATTCCCAAGGAAATAAGGATTTAAGCTCCTGCCACAGCTCAGTTCAAGAGCTCTCCAGCCGCACCTGCTGGATCCGTGGCTTCTGACCCCCTGCGTTTAGATCGAGCCAAACTTCACCGAGCCAAAGACCGTGGCAGGTGAAGCGACCCTCAGGACTTGTGGACACGACAGGTCAGCCGCTCCTCTAACGCGCCAGATCGGGCAAGCCGCCACGCCGTGCAGATCTGTCTGGAGTGATGCTCTGTCTCGCGGCCACGTGGGATCGCAGAGGGACACGGCTGGCTGTACCTTCTTATCAGAAACCGTGCTTGGAAGTGGCGGGAGCGGCTTTGCTGAAGCTCATGCGGCTGCTGACAACAAAGCATCAAAGAAAACTTTGCGAGGCAGCAAGCGGCACAGCTGAGTGCAGAAGTGGGTTGGAGCGAAGGCAGGGAGGTGCTGCTTCCTTCTGAAATGTGAGCCCTTCTGGCAGGATGCCGGCTTTTCCGGCATGACCCTTCTGGCAGCAGCTACCGCCATGCACTGAAGGGCCGCAGGCGGGGGCCCCTGGTGTCCCGGCCTGGGGCCACCCCCGGCAGGGAAGCCTCTGCTCCCTGGTGCCCGTGCTTGCCTGCCACGGGACTGGCAGGGGCTGTGGAGCGTGGCCCCTGAGGGTGCTTTCAGGTGCCTGGTCTGTCTGGACTCAGACTTCCAAAGGCTGGTGGGAGTCGGCTGGGTTCTGCTTCCCAGAGGGAGCTTGCTGAGTGGACTGTTCGGACCCAGAGGCCTTCGGGCTGGCTCTCCTGGACTCTGCAGGTACTTCCTGGCCCAATGTGTGTTCAGCTTGCATGATTACTTCTCTGGCCAAATGGAGATTAGGTACCTGCAGTTCCCTTTACATATTTGCCAAATCTGCTCAGTGTGAGGAAATACATTCTCTCAAGACTTTACATTTGGATTAGGTTAAAGCACACAGGGATAGAGAGCTCTTAGCCTTAACCTTTCAAAAGTAGGCCAAAGCATAATGCGAGGACATCGTGCGCTTGTCTTCCCCCTCCCAGATCGTTGCCTGGTCTGTCAGGGAGGCCGTGAGCCGCTTTTCCTTCCCCGAGGAACGTGCCGTTCCTTGGTGTGCTCGGCATCCCCTGGGCAGCTGCCTCTCCCTTCTCCTGAAGCACGAAAGTAGGCCTGCACTGCAGTTTTCTGCTTTGCTGAGTCCTCCAACCATCATGACTTTTCAGTATGCAAGTACTTTGCAATGCTTTCACTATTCAGATATGCCAGAACCCTTGCAACAACCCTGTAGGGTAGGCCAGTATTAGTAACTCCATGCTCTGTGCTGTGGATTAGGGCGGGAGGACGAGTCCAGGGGTGTCACTTACCTGCAGCTGCCCAGCAAGAGCATCAGAAGTGCTGCTCGCCGATCCTGACCAAGGCCCACCCATCTTCTCCAGCAACTGGCATTCACGAGCATAATGCCTTTGATGCCTGCGATAGCATGTGGCCATTGCATGTGGCCGCTGGCAGCCCCCTCCACGAATTTGGCCAGGTGCCCTTCCCGGCTGCACACAGAATAGCAGGGTTGAAGGGGCCAGGAAGGCCACCGGGTCCAACTCCCTGCTCTCGCAAGGAACCAGTTTCCACCCTCCCACTCAAGTGACTGCCCCGTTTCTTTTTGGATGCCTCCAGTGTGGGAGAGCCCCCCACCTCTCTAGGCAGCCGGTCCCACTGCCATGTTGCTCTGACTGTGAGGAAGCTTTTCCTGATGTCCAGCCAGAATCTGGGTTGTCCCAACTTGGATTGATTATTCCGTGTCCTGCACTCTTCTGGCATCAGTGAGAAGAGATTGTGAGCTTCCCCTTTGTGACAGCCTTGGAGGGACTTCTAGAGGGACGTCATGTCCCCCCTCAGTCTCCTCAGGGCTGAACATGCCCAGTTCCCTCAGTCTCTCCTCACAGGGCAGCGTTCCCAAACCCTGGATCATTTTTGTTGCCCTGCTCGGGGCTGTTTCACATATTAGTGGCTGTCAGGACTGGTGATGGCGCACGGGTCAGCTTTAAACTGGGGAGTGGCTGATCTGCAGCTTGTTTCCTGGTGGTATCTCCTCATTGTTTCCACTCCAGCCTCCATTGGGCCGCCTCTTCTCCCCAGATCCTCCGTGGAGGTCTGACTCTGCTGCCTGCCCGGTCAGGCCTGCCCGCTTGCCCCCGTCAGCTTTTCCTCGTTTTTGGAGGCGCTCGGGCTGGCCGGGCTGGCCGAAGAATGCTTTCTGCTGCAGCAGAGAGCTCCTGAGAGCTGTGGGGTGTCACATCCGGGGAACTCGGCGGGATGCCTTGTGCCAAGCTAGACAGGAGTGGGTTTTACCGCTCCGCTGAAGATCTGTTTGAGTGGCAGTTTCCTGAAGGCCGAGAGCTGCCCCCACCCCGATCCGTTCGAGGCTCCCGCACTGAGGGCTCTCCGCTCGCTCCCAGGGCTGCCGTCACTGTCCACGGTCCTGCCCGCTTTCCCAGCCGTCTGCCGCCTTGCCTGGCCAGCCGCGGCTGGTCCGTGCTCCCTGCCCGCCTTGGGGCCCCAGTGGAACTGCAGGAGGCTTTTGATGGACTGGGCCACACGTCAGCCTCCGTGGGGCCGGCCGGGCGTGCGCGGGCGGGCGGCAGCAGGAGGGGGCGTGCGGTGGCCGCTCTCTCTCAGACACTTCCTCCCGGTTGTCTCGCGGCGAGCACTGGGTCCATAGCAGACCCCCGCAGGGCTGAGCCTTCCTGGTGCGGGGTCTGCTTCCAGGGAGGAAGGCGGCCATGTCGCTGTGTGGGAAGCGCACGCTCCGGGGGCAGGTGACGTGCGGAGGCGAAAGACCGGCTCTCGATGGGCCGGAGACGGCTGGTGGCATGGCTCTTGCTCCAGGCCTGCCGCTTCCTGCAGGGTGCTTGTGGGCCTCTGCCGGCCGCTTTATTTGAAGTGAGCAGGGGTCACCTGGAAGCAAGCCGCAGCGCTTTCCATAAAAGCCATGGGTGGTCCTGCCGTCTCCCGGGTGTGTCAGCCTTGGAGTTTGGCCCCTCATTTGTGACGGAAGCGATTCTGGAGATGAGTGGCATCTCGCGAATGAAGCCAGAACGCAGCGGGGCTGGGTGGGTGGGGGCTCTCAGAGGCCCCCCTGCTAGATGGGCGCAGGGCGGAGTTCTCTGCTGTCCCCTCACCTTGGTGTCCGTGCAAGCAACCCATGGGAATGGAACTGAAGCTCACCCATCCCATTCCCAGTTCCCCCAGTTCCCCACTCCTGGGGGCGGAGGGAGGCGCTCAGGAGCAAAGGAGGAGAGCCCGGCTGGTCCAGCTTCGCCGCCGTCCTTCCGCCAGGTGAGATGGCAGGAACGCAGGCGAAGGCTGGGAGGAGCCTGCAGGAGGTGTGCGGGGGGGCTCCTCTCCCGTTGCCCATGAACTGCCCCCCATACCCTGCACCTCCGACTGTTAGCATCGCCCCGGGGAGGGGCAGGGCTGCGTGCTGCAGGCTGCAGTTGCCCGTGCGAAGGCTGCGCTTGGCACGCACGTGGCTGAATCCTGTTTCACGCTGCTCCGGAGCAGACGCCCAGGACAAAAGGGCCGTGTTCTATTTTTGTGGCATTTCTTAAATGCCCAGATTGCCACCCATGAAAGATCCGTGTAAGACCTTTTCGGATCCCAGCAAAAAGAAGACCCAGAAAAGTCCCCCTCCCAGCTCAGCCTTGCTTTCAAAAGTGGAGCAGGAAGCGCCCGTCACCAGCTCTCCTCCGGGGGGAGGCTGCGGAAAGCGCGGCATGTGAGCAGCCCGACCTGCCAGCAGCCGCTTTCTCTGTTAAGCCCCGACGTGGGCAGTTACGCTGATCTGTGCAGTTTTGACTAGTCAGTTCTTCGCCACAGTCCTGCAGTTTTCAATTTCGCCAAGTGCCTGGGCCCGTCCTGCATCCTTTCTCTTCTGAATGACAGAGTTGCAAATTAGATTATGGGAATTACCTGAGCTCAGAGTACTCCGGGGGAGAGGAGGGTCCCTGCAAGCGGCACGGAGGGGGCGTGGGGGGCAGGGAGCCGCTTTGCTCTCGGCGGGCGCCTGGCCCCGGTCCTGCGTGTGCTCGGTGTGGGTCCATCATTGCTGGAGAGGAGTAGCCTTGACCCAAATTGGGGCCCAAAACGGGAGGGGAAGCTCTGGTCAGGGAGGATGGGGCCTGTAGTCCCACTTGCTCCTGGAGGGCCGCAGGTTTCCCATCCTTGAGGGTGAGCTTGGGTACCGCTGGGACTGGAGAACTGAGAGAGGGCAGGCAGGGGCAGGGAGATGAGGAAAATCAGGAGAGCCTTTGGAGCAAAGAGCAGCCTGTGGCAAGGAGAAGTCAAGCAGCAGAAACCGCGTGGTTCTTGGTTCAGAGCACGCTCACCGGGTGTGGACTCGGGGGAGAGGCGAGGCAGAGGATGGTCGGGCAGCCCCCTGGGCCAGCAGCTGGCTGCCTCTTGCCGCCGTGTTCCGCACCGGCCTGCCGCGGCTAGCCAGACGGCAGCGCGTACTCGCCCGGGGACGGCTCTTGCTGACCGTTGCCCCGCCTCTGCCTGCAGGTTCATGGAGTCGGAGCTGGACCTCAACGACATCATCCAGGAGATGCACGTGATCGCGACCATGCCGGACCTGTACCACCTTCTGGTGGAGCTGAACGCCGTGCATTCCCTCCTGGGGCTGCTCGGCCACGACAACACCGATATCCTTTCTGTGGCGGAGGGCCAAGTGCTCCTGGGAGCCCCTGTCGCTCACCATCGCTTTGTCCCCGTGGGTGTCTGTTCTGTGCAGCTGGCCGCCCCCACGGGTATTCCTGGCAGCGGCTTAATTTGGATTCAGGCGGAGTGCGGCGCTCAGGAGCAGCGCTGCTGTGGCATTCCGCCTCTGCTGCAAAGCCAGCGGGACGTCACGGGCTCGACAGCGTGCGAGCGGCCTTGGCAGCGCCGGTGCTCTGGAGCCGAATCTTGGCAGCCACGGTCACGGAGAGGGAGGGGCCGAATGGGACCATCCCCAGGCGGGGGCCGGGAGCCATCATTCTGGGCTAAGAGTCACCCGAACAGCACACGGGAGTGTTTGCGCCATGGGCAGTGGGAGGAAGGGAGTGGACAGGGAGGGATGGCTGGGGGAGAACCCTGGAGTGGGAGGGGGCCGTTGAGGCAAGCCCCCTGCTCATGGAAAGCCTCCAGCTTGAAGCATCCCCAGTAGTTGGCCATCCCGCCTCCCCTTTGACAAAGCCCCTCCCAAAGACCCCGGGGTGGACGTGGGGCAAGAGGAGCGGTCCTCCCATGGACCAGTCACTGGTTGACGAGCCGGAAACCGCGCGTGGGAACACACGGTCCTTTCTCCCAGTGGGAGGAGGCAACCGGCGGGGTCCCGTGGGGTCCTGTATCGGGGCCCAGGCTCGCAGACCTATTCATAAACGACCTGGGAGCGGGAGAGAGCAGCCACGGGGCCAGGTGTGCTGAGGGCCCCAGACTGTTTAGGGTGGTTGAATTCCCGTCGAAAGGGATTGTGAGGCGCTCCGGAGGGACTGGACTGGGGGGGGAACAGGCGTCGACATGGCAGGTGCAGGTCAGTGGAAGCAAACGCAAGGTGAGGCACGCTGGGGAAGAAACCGCTTCCTTTTTGCAAGTATGAGCTGCTGAAAGCCGAGCTGGTGGGCCAGGAGAAGGACCTTGGGTGGTGGCAGCCGCTCCCCGCCAAGGCCGGCCGGCGCGTGGCTGCCGTGGGGAAGGCGAGGCCGGTCCGTGCTGGCGTCCTTAGGACGGCTTCGGCCAGAGCCCCGGCGTGGTGCTGCCCTTCTGCAGACGGGGCTGTGCCGCTTGGCATGCCATGTGCAGCGCGCGCTCTGCGCCTCAAGCACAGATTGCAGCGTCGGGAAAAGGGCAGCCAAACGGACTGAGCGGCTGGAGCGGCCCTCTCTGGAGATAAATTGCAACCGCCCAGGTGGCTTATCTTGGAGGAAGGGTGGGGGGGGGGGCGCGTGGCAGGGGCGAGCAGGCTGCGCACTGTGTGGAGGAGGTGGACGGGGTTCCCTGTTTCACACTCCTCGGACCCGAACTGATGGTCCCATGAAGCCGCTCGGTGGGATATCCAGGGCCGAGCCAAGGGAGCGCTTCCCACACAGCAGGCAGTTGAAATGTGGACCTCGCTTCCGGGAGACGCAGTGACGTGACCCGTCCGGGGGCTCTAAAATAGAGTGGGGCAAATTCACGGGGGTGGCGGCGGCTGCCGGCGGCTTCCCGTCGCCCTGGCGCTCGGCCACCTGCAGTGGCAGAGGGAGCGCGCCCTTGTGCGCCAGGGTGAGGAACCTGGCCAGGAGGGAGCTGTCCGCTCCTGCCCTGCTTGGGGCCAGCTGGGTGGCTGCCCTGCCACCGCGTTGAGGCGACGCTGGAGCAGACGGGCCCTGCTCCTGCAGCGAGGGAGGGCCCCCCAGCTCCAGGGGCGGTCGGGGCCACTGTCTGGCCGGGAAGCCTTTCCTGCCGCTCCGCCGGATCCACCTCCCTGCCAGGACAGCCGGTCCCGCTGGGTGCTGGGGCTTCCGCTCTCTGGCTGGAGCCGCAGCTGCAGGAGGCTGGTCGGGGCGTTGCTGTGGGGGGGCCGCGGCAGTGAGAGGCGGCAGCCCCCTGGTGCGAAGGCTTGGGGTTCAGCGCTCAGCCTGAGGACAGCCAGGGAGCTGTAAGGCGGCCACGGGCTTAGCCGGCCCCCCGCCGTGCTGGATGGCAGCTCCCTCGTTCCCCGCCGGCGTGGCCGTTGCCTGGGGAAGGCCGACAGAAACGCTTGAGAGAAGGGCACTTGAACAGAAGGGCAGGAATAAACGAAAGGCATGGGTTCTCGGTGCACCGGCATTCCTGGCAGCTGACAGGGGCCACATTCCCTTCCGAAGAGTGGGACACGGGAGACGCCGGGCTGGAGACGGGAGCGTGCCTGCTGGCAGGAGTCTCTGGAGGAACCTGTCCCAGGGGCTGCCCCCTTTGAGGGCCAGCGCGCTGCAGCAGGAAGGTTTGAGCAGAACGGGGCGTGTGTCCCGGCGCCTGAGGGGACTCCTTCGCATGTGTGAGGATTTGGGTCACTGCTGCTGTGAGTTAAATTTCACTGCCAGCCAGTCGCCAAAGCTCCCTGGACAGTTTGCAATTAAGAAAATGCAATATAAAATAGGAATCACAGTGAAAACGTCATTTTTTAAATTTAAGTCAGGTTTCAACAGTTTAACTCGGAGCGCTTGGCCTCCTTAGGCGCTGGCAGCACCCCTGCCAGTGCTGCTTCGGTCGATCCAGGACGGCCTTCAGGTGGGGCCGGGAGGATAGCCAAGCCAGCGCCGGGGTCAAGTTGGGGCACTGCTGCAGAGCCGGCCCTCCCCTCATGGTCACCAGCCGAGCTCCCCGTCCAAGTCAGAGGGGGGCGCTGGTTGGTGATGCCAGTGTCCAGGTGGACTGTGCTAGGACGGGCATCTATCCAGTATTGCAGCCCAAAGCCAGGTTTATGTGCGTGGTATGAGAAATGCCAGGTTTATGTGCGTGCCTGGAGAACATCCCGGTTGGCTGCAACCCTCCAGCGCAGGGCTGTTTCCAGCCAGACCTTCAGAAGGACACCGGTTGCGTCTTCGCGATTTGCCTCACCTTGATCAGCGAACTCTGAGCTCCGCACACTCTGCTGCTTGAACTGGTCACATAGCAAGTTTAGCAGCCCGGTGATCTTGTGATGGAAGCCCTTCCGTGTGCGTCCGGCTTCATGGCTCCAGCTGATTATCCTTCAGCGTGTTTGCTGGAGATGATGGACAGCTCAAGCGTGGCTCCTTGTGCCGAAAGGTTAGCGCGGATTTGTCATTCTGGGGGAAAAACATCAGCAGCAGGGATTTTGATTGGGACTTGGTGGTCTTGCCCACAGTGACCTGTTAGAGGAGGAAACGCGGCTGGTTGTGTTCCTCAGCCATGTCTGGGATGGCAGCCGCTCTGATGGCCTGTCAGAATTTTGAGTTTCCAGCAAAGCGGGGTCATCCCGTGTCTGTTGATCGGGCTGGAGCGGAGACTTGACTTGCACGCCGCAGCCCCCGGGGAAGGGTTGGTGCCGAACAACTGCGGGCGCTTCTCTGAGATGCAGGAAGGCAAACCGCGAAGAGCAGGCTGAATCTGGTTGGCTTCAGGCACCGCTGTAGCGCAGTAGTGAGAACCCGGGGAGTGCTGAAGTGAAGCGCCTGGGAGACGTTCCCCTTCAGCCGGCGGCTTTGCGTAAAACGGTGAAGAGGCGATTTGGAAGCGGCTCACCTGAAAGGAATGCTAAACTGACGCTTGGCTCTCCACACTTGATTTAAAAGTGGTGCCTTGGCAGGGGAGGATGGAGATGCGAGTCGGATAAAAGCCCCAGCAGTAAAATTAGAGGACCAGGCAGCTCCTTTGCTGCAGCAGAGCCAGGCGTGTGAGGCGGAGATAAAGCCTGGATGGTGGCTTAAATTACGAAAGGCCAAGGCCCCCCCGGAGGGGACCAGCTCCATTCGCAGCCCCTTCAGCAGCGCTGGCAGCATCTGCAGGAGTCAGATAGCAAGGCCTCTGTCTGGGTGCAAGAGGGCCCCACCCCAAAGAGCTCCGGGCGCACTCGGGAGGCTGTGCCGGCAGTGCGAGGCGGCTGCTGCGTGCAGGTGCTCGCTCTCGCGCGCTCGCTCGCCTGGCGCGTCTCCGGAGCCTGAGGGCACCGTTGACAGAGACAAATCCTGCTTTCCTAATCTCATTTTTGCCTTTACTAAGATGAATTAAGAGCAGAGGAAGTTGAGCTTTTGCTTGATTTCCTACCTGCAGGGCTGTGTGCCAAGATGTTTATCCTGCTCCATCTCCCCGAGGGGCTAGTTTTCTATGATAAGTCAAGCCCGACAGGATGGATGCTGGCGCTTCAGACCCCTCTCCCCTGGCAGTGGCGGGCCTCTGCCTACCAGAAGCTGGCTGCTGGAGGGTTGGTGCCACACGGGCCGTGAAAGAGGCCCCCAGCGGACACATCTCCAGGTGGAGAGGGGTGCAGAGGTTCAGCGGTGCAGCCGGCTCGATCGGCAAAGGCTGCTGCAGAGTCGTTTCCTCCCCTCGGCCAGGGCCAGGCCAGATCAGTTGAGTGATTCTCTGGTTGTGGGGCAGCCCTCCCGCGGTGCCTGTGGGGCCGGGGCATAGTGGACTTGAAGGGGACTGGAGTTCCACAAAAGGATCGGCTCCTGAGGGAGGAGGTCCACTTCTCCACCATCCTCTCCGCAAACTGAGGTGTGCATGGATGGATTGTCCAGTGATGGGGACGCCCCTGGTCCCTGTGGGGGTGTGGCTGCCCTGTCATCCCAGTGTGATTTGGGGGAGAGGGAGCTGAGAAAGAACAGCTGCTTTCTCCCCCCCTCCCCAGCCAAGCATGGTCTTCCTCCACATTCTTGCTCCACATTCCTTCCTTGGGGGATCCCACGGCAAGGTGGATTTTCGGATCTCTTGCTTTTGGCCTCAGCGCGTGAAGCGTTTCATCCGTGTGTGGCGCACCCTTCTGGGGGGCCTGCCGTAGGCGCAGTCTGCGGAGGAGCCCGGGGCAGTGGCTGTCGGGAAGCGAGGCCTCGCGCTTTGCCCAGGTCTGCTCGGATGGCTCACCTCCTGCGTGGACGCACAGTCCTGGCCAGCAGCCCAGCTGCTCCGTGCTCCCTTTTTCTTGGGGAAAGGTCCCATGAGCACAAGGCATAACCAGTTCATCTTAAGAGGCGAGGGGCTGAGGAGGGATCCTGGGGTGGTGGGCTTCAGGGAGTAGGTCCCAGGCTGTGACGGAGCTGGAGCGATCGGTGAGTGCCTCTCCGCCGGCTGCTCCTGCGTGAGCCCGAGAGAGTTTGCGAACTACTTCGGAGGAGCGTGCATGGGAGAGCAAGTGCGAGCCAGAAGGCCAGGTGCCATTTTTGTGTGGTGGCAGCTCTCTGCAGGACAGTGCGAATTCTGACGATGGAAAATGGGAACTGGCGGCATTGAACCGGAGCCTGCAGCCTGCAGCGTTTGAAATGGGATTTTGCCATTCCAGAAAGAGGCGAGGGGAGAGTGCAGGAGGGAGAACGAGAGCTCTCTCTGCCCTCCTAGAGAATTCTGCTGGCGGGGAGACCTGGACATCCGGCTTGCCTTCATGATGAGCCGGGAATCGGTCAGGCTCAAGTGCAAGGCCAGGAGGCAAGCGGGCCTGGTGAGCAGAATCGCGCCTCGGCATCCTGCATGGCCGCGTCGGTTCGGCCAGGCCCGGGATGGGCGGCAGAGGGGCGCTGGCACGTGCAGAGTTCTGGCCCAGCTGGCTGAGCTCTGGGGTGCGGCGCCCTGGTGCTGTCCGGTTAGCCGTGGCAGCGCGGCCTCCGCAGATGGGGGCTCTGCTCCCGGCGGCTTTGCGATTCTTTCCGCGTGAGACAGTAAACAGCTCGGGAATGGAAATGACCCCAGAAGCTCCCTCTTTGCAGAATGCCTCGGCTGTCAGATCACGCCTCTCGTCTCTGTCACTGCAATTACAGCTGCTGCTGCAGCCCACGCGGTCCCTGTGTGAGGGGCTCCCTGCGGAGAAGAAGATCCCCGGTGGAGCGGGGCAGGCCGTGCGAACGATCGGCTGGCGGCCCTGGCCACCGCTGCCCCTTGCACCTGCTGTTCCCGGGGACTGTTCTCGATGACCCCCCCCCCCCAGAGTAGCTGAGGGGTGTGGGGAAGAGTCAGGGGCAGGAATTAAATCGACGGTCTGCAGCCCCAACGTGTGGGGCTTAGACTTTTGAATTGGCTGGTGCCAGAGCTGCAGGCGAATGCGCCCGGCACCTGGGGCCGCCGGCTCCCCATTTCCACACGTGGAACGATTGGGCCCCTGGAACGGGCCCCCCTTGCTGTCGCTGGTGCAGTGAGCACTCTGCTGGTGTGGACAGCGGGAGAAACCTCTCGTCCCGCCTCGCCTCAGAGGGGCCAGGCAGGCACGGCCGTGCAGAGGCCGCGGGGAGGCCGGGCCCAGGGGCTCCCCCACACACCTTCCCAGCCGGTGGCCTGCAGACTCGGGGGGTGGCACGGAATCATCATGCCTGAGGGCCCTTCCCGCTCACGCAGCCCTGCTGGGGTGCAGCCGGTTTTTGCTGGAGGGGGCTTAGCTGAAGCAGGCTTTCTCCGCTGCTTTTCCAGCCCCTCGGGGCTTTCTGCACAGCGCTGCTGCATCTTGACCAGCCTCTTTCTGGGCACAGTTTAACGCCCCCAGTGGATTGGGGGCCGTCCTGGCCCCCTGACCCCCCATTCCCTGGGGCCTGGCATGGATGCCCTCCTGTGACAGAGCCCTCGGCGGCGGTGCCCGGCCCTGCCCCGTGGCCCCCAGCACGTGATGGGTCCTTTGCTCCGTGGAGCTTCCGGCCCCCTCGGTCATCAGGTTCTGCTGCATGATAAGGAGGCGTTTCATTTTGACAGGCCTCTGTTTCACTTGGTAGCTGATTTCCCATCCCGTGTGCTCGCCACTTGTTGGTCTGCTCTGTTTTATCATGTCGTTTTTATGGAATGTTCCTGCATTTCACATCTGGTCTTAATTGCCGTAAGCTGCCCTGAACGGTCTGTAAGCACCAGCAAGGCAGGACATAAATCTTCACATAAATGGACGGGGAGCGGCCGTTGTCTCTGATCCCGGGGTTTGGGTTTGGCTCGCAGTGCGAGGAGTCTGAACTGGTTCAGTCTCAGATTGTAGCCAGCGAGGATAGAGCAGCCGAGCACTCGTCTGAGGACTGGCGGCCCTCCCTGAGAGGAAGGCGCCTCCCTGCCCAGCCGGCACGGCTGTTTTCCCATGGACCGCTCTCCTGGGACCGGTGGCTGCCCGGAGGGGCATCGTGCCGGGCCGGGAACGCCCGTGCCGGTGCAGCGAGAAGGACGGAGCAGCGCCTCCGCGGCACACGCCAGCCTGCTCGCTCGCGCCCTGTGGCTCGGCGCAGTCCCGTGTGCCCTGCCTTTAGGGTGCGAATCCTTCCAGTAACTCCACAAGCTGCACAAAGAGGGATGTGGTCAGGACGATTCCCGTAGGCTGGGCGGGGGGGGGGGGGGCTGTTTGGCCTCCCACAGTGGGAGAAGGCTGGGGGTGTTGCCTGCCTGCCAGCCCACACCTCTCCTCGTCCCCCGGGCCTCGTTCTGTGGGGCGGGGGGGTGGATGCTGCTGGACAGACTCCGGAGGGGCCCTGGCCCGCCCGCCCTCCTCCCTGCTTGTTTTCCTGAGCGCCTCACATGTCTCCATCGCTGTGGTGGATCTCCTGCAGGAGCTCACCGACATCGACACCCTGCACGAAAGCGAGGAAGGAGCGGAGATCCTCATCGACGCCCTGGTGAGCACCCCCCGGGTCCCCGCCTGGGCAGGGCCGCCTCCTCCAGACGGGCCCTGCCCTGCAGCTGGCCCTCCGGCCGGCTCGCTGGCTCCTCGAGGGCTAGTGTGCGGTGCAAAGCGGCGGGAGCCTGGGAGGAAGGGGGCGCGAGGGGCATCCGGAGGGGCCAGGCCGGGGCGGCTCTGCGGCATGTGCCCTGCTGGGTGTGGGGAGCATCCCGTGCGCTCGGTGAGGCCGCTGTGCAGGCTGAGGGAGGGAGCCGGCCAAGCGGCTGGCGGCAGCAGCCGGTCGCGGCACTTGCACCCTCCTCGCAGGGGCTGGCGGGGGGAGGTGGTTGTGTGTGCAGAGCAGCAGGGCCCTTGTGTGGCCTTTCTGCGGCCTCCTGGAGGTGGAAAGGGCAGGAGCTGCCAGTCTGGAGAAGCCGAGGGTGGCGCTGGCCGGGGCCGCAGTCTGCTGATCACACCTTCCAGAGGTTAATTGCAGCTGCCCTGGCCGAGTTCTTCTGGCTGGCCTCCGAGCTCTCTTAACTGCTGACTTCGCGGCAAGGGCAGGCCGGAGGGATGGAAGGGCAGGGCCGGGGCGAAGAGGTCGGCTTAGGGGACATCTGCCTTGTGAATCTACCGCACAAGGAGGCCGTAAACTTGGGCAAAGGCTTTCTGTGTGTGTGTGTGCGTGCGCGCTCTTGCACAGAGCGGCCAGGTCTGACTTCCTCCGGACACCTGTGCAGGGGTCCCACAAGGTCCTGCTGAGGTGGCCCCTGTCCTGCTGGAGGTGCTGGGTCGAGAGTGAAAGGGGCATCTCTTGCCTGCTGGGGAGGCAGGATTTAGGCTGAGAGAACAGTTTGTTTTCCTGGGGTGCCTTCCTGAACGACCCTGCGTGCCTTCCCAAGGGACCGTCAGTGCGGCTTGCTGAAGGACGCTAATGTGCACTCCATCTGGCCCACAGATCCTGGTTCAGGCCATGGGGGCATCCCTAGGAGTCCTCCCCAGAATTTGCTTTTTTCAAGCATGCGCACTCCGCAGCGGCAATCTGGAGCATGCCCCCGGTCTCCCGGTGCAGACCCCAAGCTGCTCTGCTCTGCCCTGCCCAGCGGCTCCAGGGGTTCCTGGCTGTGATGTCGGCGTGGGCAGCAGCGCCACCCTCGGCTCCTGCAGCCCGCCTGCTCCCGGGTGTGCGCACTCTGTGCCCACTGGCCAGAGCGCAGCATCTCCGCAGGCCAGCCCTTGGTACTCCCCTTGACGGCGGAGACAGAGGAGTGGTTGCACCCAATTTAATGCCGCCGGCTCACGCGGAGAGGTTAGCACAGGCACTTTCCTCGCTCCGGAGCCCCAAGTGCAGCCCCTGCTCGATGCCGGGCGCCAGGTGGAGGCGCTCTGACAGACGGCCCTCGGCCGCATCTTGGAGGCCTCCGGTGTGAGACGGCCCCCGGCCCCGGGGTGCTGGTGCCATTGCTGTACTGCCCCGACAGCCAGGGGTGAGCCTAGCCGGAGCCTCGCTTCCTGGGACTTGTCCCCCGCCTGCGTCCTGATCGAGAAGGGACCCTGGCCTTCCTCTCTGTGACAGCCCTTCCGGTGCTCGTGCAGCGCTGCCAGACCTCCCCCAGCCTTCCCTGCCTGAGGAGGGGCGGCCCCGTCCTCTCAGCCGGTCCTCAGTGCTGCTTCCAGGCCCGGGACCGTCCTCTGAACCCCTCCCAGCTTGTCTGCCCCTTCCTTAAACGGCGTGCCCAGAACTGGACACAGGTGAGGCCTAGCCGGTGCCAGGCAGAGGGGAATCAGCACTTCATGTTCAGTCTCAACCATTTTTTTTGAACTTTACTTTGAAACTCAGTTCAGCTCACTGCTGCTGCTATTTGTGGCACTTAAAAAGCACTCTTTTGAATAAGAAAAGTGTGCATTTTTCAGCTGCCTGTCCCTGTTGACTAAGGCATGAAAATGCCTTTTAATTTGCTTTTTCAAAGTGCACATAAAAGTGGGGTATTTTTTTAGTCACAGAATGAGGAAATTATACAGGCATTTTTCAAAAAGAGTGTTCCTTCCCACATTCACATTCAGGATTGAGCATGGGGTAAGTTCAGGTGGTTTGCAAACAGAAACGGAAGCCTTACACCTCCCTGCTTAATCTTCGGCTGGCTGCCTGGTACAGCCAGCACCAACCTCATGGGTCAGTTGGCATGCGTGGGGGTGCCCGGAAGAGAATTCGGGCATCTTCACCAGTCTTTGTCCAGTTCCGTGCCAGCCAGAACGGCAGAAGTGCTCAGAGGGAATGTTGTCCGTGTCCGGAACACATGCACATACCGAAGCAGAAACAAGAAAATTTTAATCAGTTGAAATTGCCTTCGGCCACGCTAACTGTGCCGGGCTACACGAGAAAGGAGAGAGGGTGGCAGCCTGGTGTGTGTTTTGCTCCTGTTTTAGGAAGCGGGCGTTTCTTCCCTGAGGCTTTCATTATGCGTAATCGCTCAGCCCTTGGATTTTTCTTCAGCCACTTCCCAGGCGGGGAGGCAGAGCTGGAAGTGCCACGATTGACTCTCTGTGCTGCTTTCAGGGCTGACAGGTAGCTGATGCCCAGCCGGCTTGTTCTGCGTGGCACTTTGGAATTCAGGGAGATTATAAGTCAATCAAGACCTGATTTGGGGAATAGCAGCCTTGTGACAAGGTTCATATTCTTCAGATGTTTTTCTGTTGTGTCTGGCTCAGAAAAATTGTCCAATTAATTAAGGGGGAAGCACAGCAGTGCAGTTTGCTGGGGGAAAGCTCTGACAGCAAGGCTGTTGGCTGACCAGAATAGATCTCCCTGGAGTGGTGTGCTGATGTCCGTGCACTGTGCTGCCTCGCCCCCCCCCCCTCACCGCAGCGCCTCTCTCCCTCTTCTGGGCCAGGTCGACGGGCAGGTGGTGGCCCTGCTGGTGCAGAACCTGGAGCGCCTGGACGAGAGCGTCAAGGAGGAGGCGGACGGCGTTCACAACACTCTGGGTGAGGAGGGGGCCGGGGGGTGTGGCGCATCCTTTTCGCAGGTGCCCAGTCGGTGGAGGGCCCGCCTCGTGGGGCGGGGGGTAAGGCGCTGCCGCGGGCCTCGGGCCTGGCAGCTCTGGGAAGGGCTTGCTTCCTGGGGAGGGCCGCCGCCCCGCCTGTCCTGGGCAGGATTCCCGGGGCCCGCCGGCGAGTTCCAGGGCCCTCCTCCCCGGGATTTGGCCAGCGCGCGGAAGAGCCCTCTGCACATGTCATCGACTCCGAGGTCGGGGGGTCGGGAGTGGTCCACTCACTTTCAGGGGGAGGCCCTGGAAGACTGCTTTCACCGTGGAATCCCCGCATGAGTGGGGAATCCCGGGTATTGCTTCGGTGCTGCCTCAAGGGCCAAAAGGGCGAGCCCAGGAGAATGAAGGGGCGGGTCTTTCCAGGAACGCCGTGGCAATGGGGGGCCCACCAGAGCTGATGCTGGAGCGCGGCCAGACGGGCCGAGGGTGCCCCGGGGGTGGGGGGTGCACAGGGCCCCCAGCAGACCCCCCGTGGGGCCCTGGAGGGTTTTTCCGGACGGTCAGTGGGCAGCGCTCCATCCCTCGCCTGCTTCCGTCCCAAAGCAGCGTGAAGGACGGTGCCGCGTCTCCCGCCTTCTGCTGCGGAAGGGCCGTGAGGGCAAGCCGAGCTCCCCGCTGCCGGCGGACGCTTCCCGTGGGGCCGGGCCGAGGCCAGGTGTCGCCCCCTCCGGGGCCTGCCTGCTTGGGGCGGCCCATGAAGCGCTCCAGACGACGCAGTGGCCAGCAGGCCCTCTGGCTCCCTTGCTGCCCGGCGCTGCTTGAGGAGGTCGAGGTTGCGCAAAGCGGGCACCCGATTAAGAAGGGAGCCGAGCGGGGCAGGGAAACCTGCCAGGCGGCGGCTCAGTGAGCTGCGTCAGAAATCGGTCCGCGTGCCTGGGATGCGGGCAGGGCTCTCCCTCCCTCCCGTTCCGGGCTGCAGACAAGAACCTCGCTGGAGCCGGGCGCGCGCGCGCGGCTCTGCCTGGGCTGCACCGGCGGCGTCTCCTGGCCTGGGGGTGGGAGGGGGCCACGAGGCCTCGCACTTCTCTAGGCGTCACGGTTCAGCCCCTGCGCCACCTCGCATGGGGTGGCACTGAAGCAGGCCGGGTGCAGGGTCTGACTGATCCTTCAAAGAGGAGGATAGCGCACGCCCTGCTTTGAGAACGGAGGGCCCCTGGGGCCATGGGAGGGGTGCCTCCGTGATGGGGAAGGCTCCCCTTTCGGAGACCGTTTGGGAAAGGGGGGGCCGGGACGGATCTTTTGGCTTGGCTTTTCGGTTAGCCTCCTTTCTGAGGTTGCTTTCAGCGATTTACTTTGTTTTATGTGGCTGGTGACTCATCTTCTGAATTTTCTTGTTGGTCGCCAGAGATACCTGAACCCGCAAATTTAGAACTGATTGTCCCTTTTCTCTCTCCTTCCCCTCAAAGCCATCATTGAGAATATGGCGGAGTTCAGACCTGAGATGTGCTCAGATGCTGCGCAGCAGGGACTGCTGCAGTGGCTGCTCAAGAGGCTGAAGGTGAGCACAAGCCGCCTTCTGGGGCCGTCTGTCTCTCGCCTTTCTCCCCGTCCACCCTGCCCCACTTCCCCCGAGGCAAACTGGAGAGGACGCAGCCTTCTTCTGCTCAGCCTCCCTGCAGCGGCAGGCAGCACGTCCCTCCTGTGCTGGGGGGCTGCATGGAGCGTCTCCTCAGCAAGCCGCCTTTTTGCCTTGGAAGCTTGAATGTTTATGGAAGTTCCGCAACATCCCTCCGTTCCCCTGGCGGCCCGAACCATGGGCTGGATTGCGGGCGGCAGCCTGTTCTATCTGTTGGGGTCTTGGAGCAGGGCCCCCGCTGAGCTTGAGGATCGGCACTCCCAGGTGACATCCAGGAGTCAAGATGTGCTGGCTGGCTGGCTCCTCACCTGGCAGGGACGTCTTTGGGCCCTCCGAGGCAGAGTGTGCTCCACTGTCAGCCAAAACCCGCGGACGTGGATGCGTGTCAGCAGAAGCGTGGCTAATATCTGTCTCCCCAGAGGCTGTCTTTGGCATGGGGGGGGCATGGCTGCATCTGCACGAGCACACCCCCTCCCCCCACCCTAATGCAGGTCGCGCGGGGTGGGGGAGCCCAACCTCCCTGCCCTCATCCAGGCCCTCCTCCTCAGGCAGGCGGGGGACAGGGGCGTCTTTCCCAGAGGAAGCTGGCTCCGTGGAGCGTGCCCGACAACGGCCCTCCTGGGGCCCCAATTTGCCCCCTCAGTGCCACTGGGGCGTGGCCAGGACTGACCTCCAAGGGCTCCGTGCCAGGGCCGAGGGCAGGTTCCCGGGGGCCTCTCTGCCCCGGAAGGGCCAGCCCGCTGCCCCCGCAGCGCCCGCCATCTCTTGGGGGTGAGCTCGGGAGGCAGCGCCAGCAACGGCGTGTTCTGCTGCTGCTGCTGCGGGAGAGCGGGCGGCGCCGAGAGCTGCGTGTGGCCCAGAGCGAGTGCTGGGTGGGGAGCACTGCAGGCACCTTGCTTAATGCTTTGATCCGAACTCTTTTAGACCACATTTCATTTAGTTTAAAGCATGCCTATTTGCATATCTGGGTACTTTGCATAATTTGCTCTGTGCTTACTGGCCTGGAAAGGGCACGGAGCCATTCGCACAGCTTCAGCCTCCTCTGCATGCCGGGAGGCCAGGCCGGCCGCCTTCCGCTCTCACAAGGCTGCATTCACGAGGACTCGAAATGTGGGCCCTTTTGAAAACAGAACACTGATCTTTTTCGGGATGCTGAGGCAGATGTCGCAGGCTTTGTGCTCCCTGCTGGATTAAGACTCCCTACGAGCTGCCTGCTTTCCTGAGTGTGTCCTGGCCATTCCTGAAAGCTGAGAGCCTCGGCGTATGGCAGCTGTGCTGTCCCTTTGGAGGAGGATGTTGCCGCTGACGCACTGATATCCTTGTGACTCGCTGCCATCAACCTCGTCTCTGATAAATGGAAGCCCCCAGAATGTTCTCTATCTGGGAACGTTCTTGCAAATTCAAGGCAGAGCCTTCCATCCCTCCCGCGTCTGCCCTTCCGTCGCAGCGTCTGCCGTCGGCTTTCCCTCGCACGGCCGTCTTCGCCAGTGAGCCTTGCCTTCTCTTGATGGGCCCACAGCATGGCAGCCTCAGTGTTGGCATTTCTGCTTCTGGGAAATCTGTGGCTTGATTTGATCCAGGAGCCCCTGGTTTCAGTCCAGGGTGTTTCCAAACATTTCCCCAGGACGCATGTTTTGAATGCATCAGTTTTCTTCCTGTCAGCTTTCTTCGCGGTGCAGCTTTCACACCCAGGCAGGGTGACTGGGAATACAGTGCTGTGGATCATGGCCTTGGTCTCCAGTGAAGCAGCCCTGCACAGGATCGTCGTTTCCACTTCCTTCATTGCTCTCCTTCCAAAGCTCGGTCATCTTCCAATTTCTTGGCTGCAGTTTCCCTTTGAATTGATGCTCAAGACAGGTTTCAGTTTCTTCATGGTCGTCATTAAAGTTCTGTAATTCTTCTGCAGTCATGATTTTGGTTTTCTTGATGTTCAACTGCAGCTTTGCATTTGTACTTCTTTCACCAGGAGTTGCTTCAAGTCATTGCTGCTCTCTGCCAGTGAGGCCATATCATTGCATACCTTGAAATATTGATGGATCTTCCACCCACTTTCACTCCTTCCTCTGATCTAATTCATATTTCCTTAAATGTTCTATGTCCAGATAGACCAGATGGAAGATAAGATGCACCCTTGTCTGAAGCCTTTGCCTGTAGGAAGCCATTCTCTCCCTCATCCTCTCTCTCCCCCCCACCCCCAATATTCTTCCCTATCGGTAATTTCTTGCACTAAACAGTGGACGCGTCAGGAAGATCGAGTGCCGAGGCACCCCCGTGTCTTCCAGGACCAGCTTCTCGTGATCCACACAAAGACTGGGCTGTACTCCAGAAAGCATCAGCTGGTCTCCTGAAATGCTCGAAATGGAATGTGAATCAAGCGCCTCCGGTCTGTCGGCTTTGTTTCCACGGCAGTTTGCATGTTCGTGTGAGGACTTGGACCGGGTCGGTCCCTGCAGCTTGGACCGGTTCTGCTTGTGTCTGGTCTGGATGCTTCCTCCCCTCAAGCATTTTCAGAGCAGGAACCTGCTTTCTAGTATCGCAGGTTCTTCTTCATAGAATTCCTCTTCAAAGGAAGACGAAGTCTGGCACCTCCCTGTTTCCTGCGTGTAGTTTTTCTGTATATCCTTTCCCCCTTTGCTTTTCCTCTCCTGGTCAGATCGCTTGTTCCCCTGTTGATCTCTCAGCATTCCTAATCTAGGTTTGAATTCCCCTTGGATTTCCCGGATCTTCTGGGAGAGGTCTCTCATTTCCCTCGGTTGTTCTCCTCCATTTCTTTGCATTGATCACTGCATTTATATCCTGCCTTTTTCCCTGTGGTGAGAAACCCAAGGTGGATCACGTCGCTTCATTTTCCCCATTCAGCCACAGTCCTGTAAGGTGATGCGGGGTGAGCATGAGTGACTGGCCCAAAGTCACTCCATGAGATCCATGACCGAGAGGATGCCAGATCCCGAATCTCCCGGGTCCCCATCCCAACACTCACCGCCACAGGGCAGGAGCAGGGCAAGGCATCCTCTCTGTGATCTGATGCTAAACTGGGGACTCCACCTTGACTCTTGAAGCATTTTTCCAGCATCTTTCCATCAAATTCTCAGTGCTGGTGCAGCATCAGAGCATTGAATCGCAGTGTGATCGAAGACAAATGTCAAAACAGTCAAGCAAGAGTGTATCTACATAAAGACACTTCAGGAGGCTGCTGCTGCTGCTGCTGCGGATCCGTGGGCATCACCAGGCCAGGTCCAGGGAGCTCCCTGGAGAGCTGCTTAGAGTCCGGGCACCGCAGGCGACAGGCCTCTCCTGCGGGTTCCTAATGGCGAGGAAACCCGCAGTGGCCTCAGCGAAGGAGGTCAAATGCAGCCACCTAAACTGAGACTGAAATTAGCTGACAAACTGCGATGCTGGTAGAGGGTCAGCGCACCGTCAGCTTGACCAGCGCTAATCGGAACTCTGCCCCGGAAGCTTCCGGGCGGTCTTCATGGGCAGTCCTTGGGAGATGTCCTGAAGTAGCCAGAGCCAGACTGACCGAGGCCGAGTCATGCTGGCTTGCTTTCTCTAGAGCGGGCCTCCCCATCCCAGGACCTTCCAGGTGTGCTGGCCAGTGATTCCCGAGCGGGGTGGCCGTTAACGGTGCTTCTCAGAAGTAGCGTTTCTGGCTGCTGCTGGTCCAGAGAGGCTGGTCGAGCAGCTCTGCGCAGAACCCCTTTCTGCGGGATGCCGCTGCGCTTTCCCTGCTGGGTGGTGGCACAGCTCTCCCCGGGCAGTGCGGGGCGAAAGCTTGAAGGCAGTGCAAGGATGAGCCGGCCTCTGAGCAGCGCTGGGCAGCCGCCTGAAAGCGCCTGTCCTTTGGTGGAGGAAAGGTGCTTCCGCAGCTCCGAGCACCAGCCAAGGCTGCTTCCGCGTCTTGGCTTCGCAAAAGCGGCGCTCAGGTGGTGCCAGAGGGTGCCGAGCTGGTCTCGGAGGACATCCTAGGACGGTGTCCGGTCAGTCGCACAAGCGAGGCTGAACTAGGCACGAGCCGGCAGAAGTGCCACATGAGGCGCCATGGGGAGTGGAAAGACGCGCGAAACTCTCGCAGGCGGGGAAGGGTTCAGAATAGAGCTGCCAGGCTGCTGACGGGGACTGGGCGTTATGTTCACATGACTCCAGTCCTCCGTCAGCTTCACTGGCTTCCCATGGAAGTCCGGGCCCAATTCAAGGTGTTGGTGATGACCTATAAAGCCCTAAACGGCTTGGGTCCTGGTTACCTGAAGGAGTGCTTACATCCATATATGCCCGCCCACCCCCTGAGAACAGCGAGAGAGGCCCTTCTCCGGGAACGCTCCGTGAAGGATATTAGGAGGTTAAGTACTCGGAGGAGGGCTTTCTCTGCGGTGGCGCCCCATCTGTGGAATGCACTCCCCAGAGAGGTCTGCCTGGTGCCGTCGTTATTTGTTTTTCGGTGCCAGGCGAAGACCTTTTTATTTAAACGTCATTTTAATTGTTAATATTATTTGCTTATTTTATCTGGCCAGGGCGACTTATTTTATATTGTTAATTTGTTTTATATTTTGAATGTATTATATTTTAATTTTATGTTGTGAGCCGCCTCGAGGCTTTGGCAAATGGGGTGGCATAGAAATGTTTTAAATAAATAAATAAATAAATAAGGGAGGAAGGGTTCAGCTCCTTCATCGCCCCTCTGCCACCGGCCAGCGGCTCCGTGCCCCTGACCGAGCTCCTCTCCGCTTCCTCCCGCAGGCCAAGGTGCCCTTCGACGCCAACAAGCTGTACTGCAGCGAGGTGCTGGCCATCCTCCTCCAGAATAAAGACGGTGAGCTGTGCCCGCCCCGCCCCGCCCTGGGCTGCCCACCTGCCCCAGAGCCGGGTGGCTGCCGCACTCGGGCCCCCTCCCTGCCCCCCCGCCTCCCCCTCGCTTCCCCTGCCCGCGCAGCCCTCTCCCCGGCTGCTGCAGTGTTCGCACTCTGTCAGGCCTATCGATTGTGCCGGCTGATGGAGCAGGGCTGGGTGGCTGTAAACCTGACGCGGCCCCATTCCCCCTCTTCCCTTAGACAACCGCGAGCTGCTGGGGGAGCTGGACGGGATCGACGTGCTGCTTCAGCAGTTGTCTGTGAGTGATTCCTGCCACTGTCTGCCACGGAGCGCCCGGAGCCGGCTTGGAGGCGCGGGCGGGGGGAGGGGACAGGGAGGGGGCGAGCCATGCAGAAGCCGTGGGGGCCCGTGTGGCTGGGGGCTGCGCAAGGCAGGGGTCTTCCTTGCACTTCGGAAACCAGCGTGCCAGGCGGAAGGGCCTGGCCTGCTCCCCGCTCCTGGAGGGGTGCCGATGCACAGCTTTGTTTTCCCTGCCGGGACACGCAGGCCGCCTCATCCGGCAGTCTAAATCGTGCAGTGGCACCTGGCGGAGCCTGGAAGTTTCCCTGGGGCGGGGGGGCGGTGGTGAGAAGGCACCAGTGGCTCCCAGCAGCTTCCAGAATCCCCTCCTTTGGGCACTGTGCTGTGCTCCTCAGGCCGAGCCTGCAGTGTCCTCTTCGGCAAAACGGTCGGCGTGGATGCTCCTCCTGGGCCTCCCGTGTGGCGCAGCCTCTCGTGATGGCCGCCCGAGCCCTTCCCGTCCCCGAGAGCGTCTTCCCCGGTTCAGGGATGCAAATGGCAGTCGGGAGTGTGGTCAGGAGGGCTTTTCGACATGACGAAGGCCTCTGGTTTGCTCTTCATGCAGGTATTCAAGCGCCACAACCCAAACACAGCTGAGGAGCAGGAGATGATGGAGAACCTGTTTGACTCGCTGTGCTCCTCCCTGATGCTGAGCTCCAATCGGGACCGCTTCCTGAAGGGGGAGGGGCTGCAGCTGATGAACCTCATGCTCAGGTGACGTCTGGGGGGCAGGAGCACCGAGCCGGGCCTCTGACTCTTTGGGGGGCCCCACTTTCCAGGGCAACGGGGCCCGAAGGCAGGCAGGGGGTTCCAGTGCAAGGGGAGGCTTGTGGGCACGCTCCTCTTCCGTGCCCAGAACCTCGTCTGGGGTGGCCTGTTCTCCGTTCTCGAGTGGCCCAGAGGCCAGGAGCAAACCCCTTGTGGCTGAGGAGGGTTCCCGCAAAAGCAGTCAGAGGGTGATGAAGGGTGAGATCTCTCTGTCCCACCACACAAGGGTGCCTTTCCCTTCCAGACAAGCAAAACTGTGACGCACAAGGACTGCGACTGGTCGCACCTCCGCCGGCCACGGGGCGTTGCTTTGGCACCCAGGTCAGGCGCCCCAGGCAAAACTCTTCCGTCTCCAGCGTCACTGTTTCGTTTCGACTGGGGAGTGGGTTGCCTGGGCTGCTGTTCCGCTTGAAGCAGATGTGGCGGAATCTGCGTGCCCGGGAGCATCTCTGCCGAGGATGGGCAGCGCGTGGCCTTTCAGAGGGTGGCCGTGGTGGCCTCACAAGCCGTGGTGAACGATGGGGACCTCGGGCCGAGAGTTCTGCGGGGCCTCAGGTGCCCTCCCGCTCTGCCCCTTTACCTGCTGAACGCTCCGCTGGTGCGGCGCGCATCGCGCATGCCTCCTAGAGACCTGCAGCGCATGCAGCGTCTTGGCCAGCAGCCTCCCCTCTGGGCTCGGTCCCCAACCTGGCCGGGGAGCCGCTCGCCCCACAACCCGTAAGCGCTCGGCACCACCAGGTGTGCGGACTCTGCAGAAGGGCAGGGGGAGGTCTTGCGCTCTCGGTCATGCAGAGCTCTCTCGTTGGGCCCCTTCCCCCCCCCCCGCCTTCCTTTGGCTCCCATTCAGGGGGGAAAACGAATCTTGGGGGCTGGGGCATCACTTGTGGCAGAACCCCCTGCGGGGAAGTGGGGGTGCGGCAGAGGCTCACCCGGGGACTTCCCCATGTCCAGTGCTCGTCTCTTGGCTGGAACCCCGCACAGCGAAACCTTTGGCTGCCGCGGAACGATTCTGGGCTCGCATGTGGGGCGGTCTGTGTGCGCCCGGTGGTGGGTCGGCTTCTCTGAGTGCAGGCACCCCACGCTGCGCCTCAGCTGGACCCCTGCTGCGCAGTGTGGCAAACGTGAGCTGGGGCCTCTTGCGCCCCCCTCCCCCCAGCACGGTGGGCACGCGTGACCCTGCTGTGAGTTTGCCGGCACAGGAGGCCAGTGGCCACCTGCCCGTTCCGTTCCGGAAGCATCTGTTTCAGCAGAGCCGCCCCTGGAGTGGCGGGACCGCCGGCCAGGCCCGTGAATGTGCGCCGGCGAGCGCGCAGGAGCCTCCCGAGGCGGATGCCCTGCTGAGCCATTCTGGAGCCGTGCCGCCCCGCCCGCTCGCAAAGGGCTCGTGTGGCACGGCGCCCGGGCCCGCGGGCCTGCGCCTCACTCCATCCTGTCCTTCCGAGGGGGCCCTCCCCACACCCCTCCCCCTCACGCAGCACCCCGGAATCGCGCCCCCCTCCCCGAGCTGCGCAGAGGCTTTCTCTCGCTGGGTGGGCTGAGCCGAGCGGCACGGAGAGGCGGCTGGCAAGCACCGGCAAGAAATGATATATTCCTGCGGACTCAGGCTGGGTAATATGCAGCAGCAGCAGGGAACTGAATAAATAACCAGAAACATGGATTATTCAGATAGGAGTGCTGAGTTTTCTTAAGGCTAATTAAAGCAAGGCTGGAAAGCGCTGAAGCCCCGGACCGGGGGAAGGTCCCCCCGCCCCCGCCTCCTGGATTTCCTGTCCTTTTCTCCTCTGCATGCTAAGCTGCTCACCACCCTGGCAGAACTAATTACCTGGAGTCCTCGAGCCATATGGGTGGGACCTTGCATGTTAATTTTTTAATGCTCGCCCCCCCCTTTTGGGGCTCTGCTGTTTACTGCCCTTCCCTTGCCTGGTCCCAGCTGGCTGATAATGACAAGGAGAAAATGTCTCCCAGGACACGGCTGCGTTTAAAAGGCGTTCTGAAGGACGGCGCTTGCATAAACCAGCCACCCCATCTGTTGCGGCTGCCGTAGCAGCTCTGCAAATGGGGATGGGCTCTGTGCCCCCCCAGCAGGTGGGAAGGCGTTGGGAAAAGAAAGCCTGGAGTGCCTGAGCCCCCCCCACCCCCGGGTCCCTGCCGTCCCCCCTTTGCCGCCCCACGGCCTGTGCCCGGCCACTCGGTGTATGCACGAGAAGAGCCGCCAAAAGTCCTGGGCGGGGGGCACCGCCTAGAGCACAGAACCGGGGTGGGAGGGGCGCGGGTAGCCCCTCGCCCCCCGCCGGGGCCGAGACCCCTGGCGCCCTCCGGGCCCTGCGAGCAGGAGCGGGGAGCAGGGCAGCCTGCAGCCGCTCAGCCTGGCGCCGCCTTGCCCCGGTCGGCTCCCGGTGGGGCCAGGCTGCCCTCGAGGGCCCACCCGCGCACGCAGAGTACCACGCGCAACAGGCCGCGTCCTGGCACTCCGGCACAGGCTGCCCGCCTCTGGGCACGCCCCAGCGGACTGCCTCCATGCGCACGGAGGGGCGCTTCACCTGCGCACCGCTCCGGGTTCCCCGCGGTCCTGGCCCCCGTGTTGCCTTTCGCTGGGTGAGGCGTGGGGGGGGCGCCTGTTCTGCGGGACACCTTCCTCGGAGGGGTCCCCGCTGCCCCCCTCGCGGCACCCAGGGCATGGCCACCCTTTGCTGGAGCGCGTCTTACCCAGCCGCTGCCGTTCTGGCTAGGCTGCCTGGCCAGGCGATGGAGCTTCATTGTGGCGACCGGCCCGGGCCGGGTTTGGCCTGTAGTTTGATGCATCTGTTGAGGTTGCCTGTGTTCTTCCTTCGCATATCTTGGAAATGGTGGCATAACGGAGTAACGAGTCAGCCGTGGGCCCGGCCGTGGCTTTGATGGAGGGAGGGCTGGCCAGCCGCCGCCTCCTGCAGCGAGGAGGTCGTGTGCCCTTGGTCCAGACGTGGAGCGTTTTAGAACAGGCGGCTGGCATGGGCTGGGCTGCTGCCGGCTTCTGCAGCGGGAGACACGGGGCTGTTCCCTCCGATTCCTGTCCTTGGCTGGGTCGTAAATGCATGTCTTTGTTACACAGAAGCCCTAGCCATGGAGGAGGCGGGATGGATAATTATCCTGGAAATTGCCTAGCCTGCAAACGAGCAGGTTTAGTTTCATTTGTGTGTTCGTTGGTTGTTTGTTTGATGTATCAGGCTGAGTAACACAGGTTCTCTGGGCAGTTTGCAACGAGGGTTATCAAGAAACAAATTTAAAGTTGGTGACCTCCAACTGGAGGTTTAGAAATGTCACATCCAATTAAGGTCTCTCTCCAAACACAATTCAATTTCTTCACAGATCGGGAGCTGCCAGAGGCTTCCATGAGAGAAAGTGAAATTCCCTTCTTTCCCTTCGGAAAGAGAGAGATCAGCCTGTCAAGTTCCTCAGGAATGTTGACACGAAACCTATTATTCCTCTTCGTTAACCGAGGAGATGCCACTGTCTCCGGGGGCTGCGCAGGGAGGCCTGTGCTGCATTCATGGCAGCGGGAGAGCGCGTGCCTCGGTTCTTAGGTGAGCGGGTTGGGAGCGGTGGGCACGCGCCCTTTTGCTATGCGGATGGGCAGAGCCCTGCGGTGACGCTCCCTTGACCTGTGCAGAGGTGTCCTTCGACTGACCACACAAGCAGGAGGGCCACAGGCACGGCCAGGCTTGCGGAATAAACGACCGGCGCACTGGCCTGCAGAGTGCGGCTCGGCTCGGCTCGCTCACAGCAGCCCCGCGCAGCCTCTCACCGCTTCTCTGGTTTTCAGGTCACATCAGCTCCTTGGAAACTCAAAATTAATGTGTATCTACTGAAATGTTCTTTTATTAGCAGCTTCATGCTGTGTTTACCTAGCAGAATCAGATCCTCTTGCCAGTTCTCAGAATGCGTCCTTCTGGAAGCCTTGGAGTCCTGAAGCCTCTCTTGCCTTGGCGGCTGGGGGCTTCCTCTTTGGGAGGAGGTGCGATAAAGGCATCGGGGGCTCACCAGGGCCCTCCCTCCCGGATGGTGGCAAGGCTCAGAACAGGGGAGGCTAATGTGTGAGTGGGAAATGGTTGTCCCATGCAGCCCCGACGATGAAGCTCCCCGGCCTGGCAGGACCCCTTTCCTTTTCCCCAGATTTGCTCTTTCTTTTGGTTCTTTAGGGTTATGCTCCGTGGTTTTGCAGGCCTTCTGTCTTCTCCTAACGTTGGCGACCTTCCCAGAGTGCTCTGGTGTTCTCCAGAGGTTTCCATTCCCCACATTGTTTTCTGGAGTGAACTGGGACGGTTAGTTAATTGCAGGAGCTGAGTGAGTGCGACGTATTTTGTTTTGGCTTTAATTTTTGGATGGTTTGTGTTTTCCCCAGCTCACCGCTGGAATGCGCGAGCTCCCAAGAACTCTTCCGGGGAGGTTGCGGTGCCTGCCTGTGCAGCTGGCCACCCATCAGGCCAAATGCAGCTGCATGCTGTTCCCTCTCTCTCACACACACTCACGTGTTTCCCCAGTCCTGGCCAGTTTGCAAAACCAGGCGGCTTGCTGGGCACTGGGTGGCCTGCGTTTGGCCTGGCAGAGCCCGCGAGCTCGCAAGAGGGCTGGCCCCGGTGTGGGACCGTCCCGCGGCTGCTGCCTTCTCTGGTGACGCGCCCAAGCACTGGCATTCGCCTCTGTTCCCACCCAAGGGAGGCTTTGGGAAGCTCAAGATGAGACCAAGATAAACTGCATGCTCTCTGGCAGAATAAATATTTCAAATAAAATCTGCCCGAGACCATCCAGTCAAGCAGCTATTGATCTCTCCGAGCCCGAACTTAAGCCCCATGAATATTCCAGGGATGACTCCCTGCAGCCTGCCTAAATGCTGATCAATATGCAATTACTTCCCCGAGAAGAGACCTTAAGTTCTCCAGCCAAGGCCTGAACTTCTTTTTGCTTTTAGCATTTTGTTATTTGGCTCGCAGGGTGAAGGAGAGTTGAAAGTGAGGTGTGGGGCGGGCGGGCGAGCAGTGGGGGGCAGGGGTGAAGGTGTGCCGAGCGCGCGTTCCCCACCACACTCGGTGCTCCCCGGCGCTCCCGAGGGGGCCCCGTGGCCTCGGTTGCCCTCCAGTGCCGTTCAGCCAGACTTCTAATGAGACTGGCCGCGTGACCGGGACTTGTAGAGTTTAAAGGCCGGGGGTGCCGCATTTTATGGGCACCGTGCAGCCTGGGCGACAGCTTGTAGAGCCTCTGGGAGTGGACCGAGGCCGGGTCGCCGAGAAATGTTTACGTGGCCACGGAGTCGTTTCCCACGCATTCCGAACTGCCGGCCATTAGAGGCCCCGTTGAGTGCATCTGGCAGAGCAAGAAGCCAGAAATGGGGGGAGAGGACAGGTCAGAAGAAAACGGCCCCCTGGGATGCCTTGGCGGTTGTGCGGGAGAATGATGGGATGCCAACCTGGGGAAGGAAGAGCATTTCGTGCGTCACATACAGCATTCCGCTTGTGATTGCTGTTCAATACGTTGCAGCTGATTTGTATCTCGCAGGATATAAATGAGAGCTGATAGATCAGTGAGGAATAATGGGCCGAGCTCCCCCAGCTGAGCTTTTGAACCACGGATTGGTGCCTGCAGTGATGACACTGACTTTGGCAGTTAGAGCCCCCACTCCATGCGTAACTGCCGCCCCCTCCCCTTGCCCGGGGGCCAGGCACAGCTGCTGAGGCCTCCCTGCGGGGGGTGCATCATGGTGCCCTCCCTCCTCTTTGTGATTGTGGCCCAGGGCTGTGTTGCGTTGGATTCAGCCGCGGAGGCCTGGGCCGGATTGCCGTCCAGCGCTGGACGGGCCGGGTGACTGCGGGCCAGCCACCTTCCTGTGGCCTGGCCCACACCCCGGTGAACAGGTGCCATGGGGCGGGCCACGGATGCTGCCTCGGGGCCCCTGCTCCGCAGAGGGAGCGGGCGAAAGAGGACGGTGTGGGTTTCCTCGGGAGCAAGGCTGGGCAGACTTCCGCTGTGCTGGTCCTGCTCCGTTCATTGGTTTTGTGCTAGAGTCCCAGGGCCAAGTGCGAAATAAGCCACTTGTGTTGCAAGAACAGGGCGCCACTGGGTGCTTCTTGCGCCCAAGCGGTTGTTTCCGGTCCTAGGACTGGATGGGACTCTCTCGGGGCTCCTTTATTTCAGCAGCCCCACTCAGATGAGACATGTGGTGTCGTTGCTTCTGTCAAAACCCGTGTCCCAAACCTTTGCCAATCCACCGTGGATCACGCAGGAGGGAACTCGTGGTTCCAGGTCCACCCTCCTCTTCCAGGCGTCCGGCAGGGCGAATGCGTGTGTTGCTCGCGGCCCGTAGCTGGGCCCTGTGCGGGCTTGCTCCTCTTCGCCCCGCCTCGGCCTTGTGGCTCGCTTCCCCTTGGGGCAGCCGGCTGGCCCAGCCGCTCCTGCCGTCGGCGATGCAGCCGCTGCTCCGGGCAGGAAGGCAGGTTGCGGAGCCGCTCCACATTGCTGGGCTCAGCGAAGGCTGCATGGTCTTTTTCGCTCCCTCTCGTGCTGGAAGGGGCGGCTGGCGGCTCAGAAGACGCTGCCAAGACTCGTCTCTCTCTCTCTCCCCTCCCTCTCATCATTCGTGCTCCAGTTCAGGCATCCCAGTGGCTGCTCTTTCAGCGGATGCTTTTCCTCCGGACGAAATGCCCTCCCTGAACAAATTGGGAGCCACGCTCCGCTGAATGAAGCCGCGCCAGGGACAAGCGCCCGCGCCTTGCGTCCCTTTGTTGGCGTGCAGTACAAGCGCCCTTCCGCGGAGGCGTCTCCTGCGGGTGGCCACCTCGTTCCTCGCCACACCTTCTGCTGGCAGCGGCCGCGGAGAGCCAGCCCCTGCCTCGTCCGCCACCGCGTTTGCTGTCCCTGCTGCGGGTGGGGGGGGTGCCTGAGCGGCTGCTGCACCGAGGAGAGGGGAGTGGGCACGAGGGGGGGCTCCCTCGCGTGCATTATTCGGCAGGGTTCCTCGTGAGGAGGGGTGGAATGGGTGGCGACCGCAGGAGCCTGGCTTCTTTCCGATGACCATAGTGGGAAGCCCGGCCTCCTGCCAAAGGGCGCGTCCTGCGATAACGAAGGAGGTGCCCGGAACAGAAATCCGGGGGACCAAGAACGTGCGTTGCGAGGAAAAAGGCTGAAGCGCTTGGGCCTCCTCACGTCTGAAAAAGGCCGAGGGCGTGGTGGAGGCTCATAGCGAGGGCAGCTTTTATCGTGTGTCCAGGCCCAGTGGCCTGGGAAGGGGGCCGGTGGGCAGGCGACTTGCCCCGAACGTGGGGCAGTGAGCGGGGCCACTGCACACGCTGCGCATTTGAGGCGTGTGCTTGAGAAGGAAGCGTGAAATCGGATCACAGCCGAACACAGTTTCCTCCTCGCCTCTCTGCTTGTGCCCATTTGCACGCGTGTAGCTGTCGCTCGAGAAATATGAATCGCCGTCGGTGGATCGATACACTGGGCAGGAAGTGCTTTCCCCCTTGACGTACCCACTGGCTCCGCGTTCCTTTTGGTAGTTATGGGGGTGGGAGGGATGCTGGAGCCCGTGCAGCTGAGGTCCGTAGGAGAACACAAACTTCCTGCCGCCCTGGAGCTTCTTGCGCAGAACGGATACGCATCCCGTTCCAGGTATGACAGGCGGGCAGTTGTGGCTTGGCGTCTGGGCTTGCAGTTGTGCAAGGCGATCTGGCCTTGGGAAAGGGGCCGGGGCACAGTCGCCCACGCCCTTTTTCTCAAGGGTCAGCCAGCGAGACGCAGCGTAGGATGGGGGGGCCTGGTTGGAGCACCGACTGACTGGCTGGACACAGAGCGTGAGGCGTGGTCCCCTGCCGCGCACGTGCCCTTTGCAGGCCTGGCCACGCTCTCTTCGGCCTTGGTTTCGTCCGCTGTCGAACAGGGATGGCGGCGATCCCGCCTGTGGGAACGAGTGCATGGACCCCGACCATGCACCCAGCAAAGGAAAAGTGCCGTGGAAATAATGGTGGATGGTCCCGGCTGGAAGCACCTTTCGCACCTGGCTAAGCCTTTCTCGTGGCGCGGTTTCTTCCCTGCTTGACATGTGGGCAGGTTTCTTGTGCCTCGATGCCGGCCATTTCCATGGGGGGTCCTGAGGGGGCGAGGGTGTGGGAGAAAGAAGGGGGAGTGAATTTTAGATGCCTGAGCTAACTTGGAGAGTCCCAAGTTCTCTCCTTTCAGCAGACTAAGATTTCATTTGGCTGCCTTGTCCAAAAAGCAGGCAAAAATCTTTACTCTGTGGCCACTTCCTTCGCTGGCAACAACTCCTCTTTTTCAGAGAGAAGAAAATCTCAAGGAGCAGTGCCCTGAAAGTGCTGGATCATGCCATGATCGGGCCTGAGGGGGCAGACAACTGCCACAAGTTCGTTGACATCCTTGGCCTTCGGACCATCTTCCCGCTCTTCATGAAGTCACCCAAGAAAATCAAGAAGGTCGGAGCCTCCGAGAAGGAGCATGAAGGTAGGCCGGAGCCAGAGCTCGCCTTCCGGGGCCCCGGGATGCAAGGCGTGGTCCCGCAAAGCGTCCCGAGTTCTCCCCTCGCCAGGTTGCCAGCCCGGAATGCATAAACAGAGTGCCCGCTCAGCCCGCGCGGCGAGGCTGCTTGTTCCCGCAACTCCTCCTCTGCTGCCAGGCATGGCGGTTAATTAGCTCTTGCATATGCACATGTGAGCCTGTTTGAAGCTGTCTCTTTGATGCCAAGCTCCTTTGAAAAGAGTAATGAGCCAATGCGAATGTCACCTCCAAAGCAGTGTTTTCCTGGCTCCCAGCGCCGGCGTGACGCGAGCATCGGGCGCTGCAGACTCCGACGGCTTGTGGCTCCCGCCCCTCTTGCTGTCTCTCTCGCCACGCAGCTGCTCCCCAGGGAGACTGGCTCTGTGGAGGGAGGCGGAGGTCCCGTCGACCCGATCAGCTGCTGGTTCTGCTCAGGAGCACGAGGCGTGGCAATGCTAGCAAGGGGAGCCGAGCTTTCCTAAATTTATGTTTTATTGTGGGATCCACCACAATGAAAGAAAATCTAACTAACATAGAAAAGCACGCCCCTGAAGTTAGCGACTGCTGATATGTAAATCACCGGACGGCGGCAGAAAGCCGGAAGTGCCGGCTCTGCGTGAGCCTCTCCAAAGGGAGACCAAGTGTCTCTGCTTGGGAGTGGCATTCGCAGCCGTGCGCCTCTCGCAGTCGGAGCCCGGGGTGGCGATGGCAGTGGCCCAGAGCTGCTTGCCCGGAACCCGTGAGGAGCATTAGTGAGCGTTTGAGAGACACAGAAAAGGAATAAAAGAGTAAGGAACTCCCCAGGTACACAACGAGCGCCCGCCTGGAAAGAATAGGCCACAAGCATGGCAGCAGAGCACACGTTCCAGAAACGCCGGCCCTGGTTTCTCCCCGCTGGTGCCCCAGCCTTCTCCAAAGCAGCGTGAAAAAGCGGGCTCCAGGTTGCCCGTCTGGAGGAAGGTGGGCTTGCGCATGTCCCCACAGTGCCCAGCTCGTCATTGTTAAAGCTGTGCAGAGCAGCGAGGCTGAAAAGGTTTTCTGAGGAAAGTATTTTCACTCCGCCCCCACATTGTTGTTTTCATGCTGACACAAGTCCCCCGGGTGTTCACAGTTATACTAAAAAATTCTCTAGAGATCAAACGCTGCCTTTGCATGTCAAATAGTTATAAGCAGGTTTCGGCATTAAAAACATTACGTTGAGGTTTTGAAGTTCAAACATCAGGTTTCTGTTATATGAAATCACTCAGCAGTGTGATATGTTGGGCCCTTGCTCTTGATGGGGAGTTGTTCAGATGTGGTTCATAGTTGTTCTAAAATTCTTTCCGGAGCTGGAATGTCCTGCCTTGGAGTGGGCCAGGAGGCATTTCTCGAGCTGAATTAGCCTGCGGAAATCAGAATGTGCCATGTAGCTTTCTGGGCTTTGAATGTACATGAAATTAGTTCCAATTACTGCTGTGAGTAGTACAGAGAAAAGGGCGAGAGGCCTCCTTTGGAGTAGGGCCGGGGCTGCAGAAGGGGCTGTTGCTTGGATATGGGATAGCAAGCCCTCTCTGTGGCCCTGTTGCAGCTGGGGCTGTGGCAGCAGTTCCCAGACGTGGGTCACTCACAAGGCTTTGGCATCCCCCCCACCCCCGGCCTGGCTGTGCTTTCTGTCCCTGCATCAGCTGCTCACGTGGTCTCAGGACAAGCACTGCACCTGAGTGGCCAGGTGCTCGCTGGGCCTTAAGTCGGAGGGCAGGCCGGGGGCGGGGAATTGTTGGCTTTCTTTTGCTCGCTGGCTCTGGCAAATAAGGGAAACGGCCATGAGGACAGGCAGAGTCCAGGGAGGCACTGATACAGATGTAAAATAGTGGATTTTATTTTAAAGAGAGCTCCATTTTCTTTGCTTTGCATGACTGGAGAGCTGAGTTATTGAGGCTGTTGCGATTCCTTTAATTGAGATGTTTGAACAGGCCTCCGTGGGGCTGGCTGGCCGTGATCCTGCAGGGGTGGGGGCAGACAGCCACTTGCTGCCCTTCCTGGGCCTTGCTGGACTTCTGGGGCCAAGCTGGGCTCTGGGCGTGTGCACCTTGCGTACGTCTGTTTCCCTGGAGCAGCTGGAGCCGGCCCTGTCCCGCAGGAGTGGTGGGGGCCTCCAGCTGGAGCTCCTCTCCACCCCCCCCCCATTGTGCAAGCACTGGTAACTCCCAGGAGCTCTTTTTGATGGGATGGGGCCAGTCCGTGTGCCAGCAGCCCTGGCATCCTGCGGGGTTTCACAAGGGTGGCTTGACTCCGGGCTGGCACGTCCCGGCCAGCCCTGTACGATCACCGCCCCGCTGAGGCTTCTGGGTTCAGACCGGTGGCTGCCCTCGCTGCGGCTGTCCAGGGTCAGAGAAGCCACGGAGGCCTGCTGTGTGGGGTGAACGGGGCTGTGGCGCACCCCGCAGGCTCCCCAGAGGGAGAACATTTGCAAGCGGGGAACAAACCCTGAGAGCCTGGCTCAGCTTGCCCAGTTGCCGGCAGCCCGCAGGCACGGCGCATGCTCCCACCGGCCTGAGCCCCGCGTCCCCAGATCTCCTCCTGGGCCGGCCAGCTCCCGTTCGCATCCCCCTGTGTGAAAAGTTGGGATTTTTTAGCCCCTCTGTGCGTCCATCACACTGACATTAAACTCGTGTGCCGTTTTGCTCCATTTATGTGTTACGGTGCGACTTTCCTGAGCGTCTCCTTGGTTTCCACACCCCCGGCAACCTCTTTGCTCACGCCTAACCCCGGATTATTTATAGAAATTACCTGTCCCTTGCAGTGAACTGCTGTTCTTACAAACAGTTCTTGTTGCTTATTTTGGGTTTAGCAGCGCTCTGAGTATTGCCCGTCTCAGCTGTGCCCTGCCTTGCATGTGCGCAGGGATCTTCTTTTAGAATAAAATGAATAACACAAATCCTTGAGGGATCCCGCCTCCATTGGGAAAGTGGCCCATTTGCGTTCGCTCCCTGCTTTTTACTTTTTAACCCATCGGGGGATTTGTCCTTGGTCAGGTAGCTAAATTTCCTCAGGCACTCGTTGCTCTTGCCCGCCTTCTGGGGGTCCAGCGCTGTCTTCTGCGACAGGGTGGGCCGAACGCGTCAGGGCGGGTGTGTCCGGCACGCAGCACATGGGCCCCGGGAGCCTCTGTGCAGTGGGAAGGGCCCTCCCGGCCTGGGGTGGGGATGCAGTCCCTCCGGGGGTGGGCCTGGGGTGCAGTGCCGCCGCAGAGGCGCTCGCCGTTTGCACCGGGCCGGGCCAGGCGAAGCAACGCGGAGGAGGGTGGGCTCCCGCCGAGCGAGGCAGGGGCTGGGGGGCCTGCTGGGACGCTCCCTTGGGAAGGGAGCCGCGGCTGAGGCCCTGCGGGGGCCGGCAGGCACGCCTCCGGTGACCCCCGCCATGCTGCTGGGTTCTGCCGGCAGCGCCTCTTCCCACAGCCTCGTGCTTCTGCCGGGCTGCGGCAGGGCGGCCTGCGCCTGTCGGTTGAGGAGGGGCAGGGGTGTCCCCCAGAGCAAGGCGGCTTGCAGCCCACCTGAACCTTAGTCGTCCTCGGAGGGACTTGGCGACGGGGCTGGGGAAACGGCTCAGTGCTTTCTCCATCTGCTGGTTCCTACTCCCCTCTCACCAAGTAGGTTTTCTTCCCCTCGAGACTCCTGGTGGGTCCTCGGGGGCAGGTGAGGGGCTGGAGGCGCTTTGCGTGGCGTGCAGGAAAAGGTTCCAAGGGGCTGCCTCCGGTCAGAGGGTCCTTCAGGAGGCCGGCACCCACCCAGTCCATCCCCAGGCACGGCCGGATCCTGCGCATGAGCGCGAGCGCGCACAGACACGCCCCCCCCCCCCCACACCTCTGAGCTGGAAATCTCAAAAGAGGATTTCTCGTGCCTGGCTATAAAGCCTTAAACAGTCAGTGCTGTTTAAATTAAAGAATGGCATTAAGCTCTTCACTAACGGGCACTTTGTGTTAAACAAGGATTAAAATGTGTGCCTTGATGGCTTTGTTGCTGTCTAGAGTCTCACCATTGAGCTGCCTCTGCCATGAATCTTCCCCAGCGTGCTTGCCCCCGGGGCCGGCGTTCACCCACCGCCTCCTTGCGCTCCTCCCCTTGGCACGGTTCTGAATGTGCGGAACTCGCGACAAGCCCCAGGAGTCACCCCTGGGCCCCCACCGCGTGTGGCTGGGTGCGTTGCGGAGGTCCTGCACCCTGCCCGGGCAGGGACCGGAGACATGGCAGCGCGTGGCAGGGTGGGCCTGGCCAGGAGCCGGCCTGGGGTGGGGAAAAGACCTGCCCCCCGCCCTGCCGGCACCCGCCCCGACCAGCACTGGCTCTCCCAGGCCCCGGAGCAAGAGGGCTTTCCCAGGCCGTGAGCTGAGGCCGAGGCCTTTGCAGAAGTTCTGTGCCTGCTGGGCGCCGAGGCCAAGGGCTCCTGCCCCACCGGGCGTGCCTGTTTTGGCACCAGAGCTCCCGCTGCGCCCGGGTTCCTGCGTCCGGGCCTGCTCCTGGAGTGGCGACAGCTTCCCTCCCCCTCCTGGACTTTCCCTCATCGCCTGGGCAGGCGGGCATTTGCCCCCTGTGTGCTCGCGCCCCGGGGCAGTTCCTGGGGCATCTGAGGGCCAGAAGGTCGGAGCTGCTGGGAAGCCCAGCAGGAATTTGGCCACTGCCTCTTGGTGAGGCAGAAGGACAGATTCCGGCATCCGGAATAGTTTCCCGACTGTTGGAGCAGCACGACAGTGGAACCCGTGACCCAGGGAGGCGGTGGGCTCTCCCACGGGGGGGGGGGGCATCCAGGTGGCAGCCGGGCAGCCCTCCGAGAGGAAGGCTTATTATTTTACTTAATTATTAAAAGCTTTTGTATGCCGTCCTGTTATACAAGCTCTCAGGACGGACTGAGATTGGACTGGGAGTCCTGCGCTGAGCAGGGGGTGGACCCGACGGCCCCCTGGCCGCTTCCCACTCGACCGTTCCAGGATT